ATGACGACAGACATATGATCCCGTCGTCAGACATAACCTAGATTAAGTGGAAATAACATAATTATGTTATTTCCACTCAAGTAAATATATCTAGATTAGTAAAATCAAAAATCGTGATGAATCATTTCGATTAATAACAAAATATTTCAATAAAATAAGAGCTCTAAAAATATTAAGATATCAAAAGTGAAAAATGCATACCTCCAATGCCACAAAGTGGCAAAATGTGGATTCAATTAATGGCATTGATGATCTATCAATAGTTAGTCTGGTAGTGTGAAACAGCCATGATTATCGGTATAGTCTACTAAATTTTAAATCTATAAAAAAGGTTTTTAAAACATCACTTAGATGGTATGCATATAGAATAGTTAATATATATATAGTATATATAAGGTTTGTTAGCTTATATATACCCATATTTATTAAAATTGCAGCCTCGCTTGGCCCACCTTCTGTGTTTAGTTATTCGTTGATTGATTTATTTGCCCTAAGCTGCACCTTGGTACTATCCCAAGATCAGGTGTAATATGAAGGTGGTATGAACTAAATAGAAGTAAAAGCATATGCGTATTTACACAGCCACTTATCTAATTTGCTAATTTAGATGACTATCTTTCTTTTTTGGAGTGGTGTGCATCCAAGAGGCTAATTTCCAAATTTAAAATGAGATCCCATTTATGACACACGAGATATCTGGCCTTTTTCTAGTTCTATTTACAGATGGTCTAGTCGGGTTTCATATTCTTTAAGAGATCCAAAAAACAGAGGATTACATATGGATGTAGGAGCCTACAGCAGTGCTTGGTCTCAGATAATTTTTTTATCAGAAAGGGTAGAAAGTTCTTGTCTATATATTAATGAAAAAAATTATGCAAGACTTATCTTTACAGTCTTCACAAATATGAAGCACAATTTAACTTACAAATCATTGAAGGTACGAGTAGCAGCCCTCATAGTTCAGATCTCTCAGGATGTATGTAACTGTCTTCACCAACAACGTGCTTCTTTGATGCTTCTAGCAGAGCACTTGAGATTGATAGTGGGATAATGGGTTGTTGAAGCTTATAAGAGGTTTCTTAAGTAATTTTGTGCCATTCTAGATTTGTAAAATTTGGATATGGGCATAGAGAACTAAGCACAATAATTGTGATAATGCTCCAATATAAACTATAAGGATAAATTCAGTGAAATGCAATTTTGCTTTCTGACTTCTAACAATACCTACAGTGTCTCAAATGTATTAACCCATTTTAATTCTCTTTAGTTTATCAATTGCTATCTGTTGATACTGGCAGAAACTTTGCAAAACATTGATATTATCAACTCTCCACCAAAGAACAAGAAAAACAGTAGTAAGAATACAGCAGAAAACAAGAATTGAAAAATTAGATGTTATGTACCTTAACCGTGGGTTGCATTTCCAGTTGATTCATGATGATATTGATATCGAATTCAACCTTTTCGTTCTTATCCTCAATCTCATCAAGCTCTTCGCTAGAAGAAGAGATTTCAGAGTTTGATGGTAATTTTGATTCCGTCTAGTGTTCACAGAATACACGTATATTAGTAAATGACTTGCTATCAAGAAATAATTTAAACATCTCATAAATCTTATCCATTTGGTTGGCAATACTGATGATGTTTCTTCTGATTGTTACTCCAAATTCTTTGAAAACATTATAAACTATTAGGTTTATATTATATAACAGAAACGAACTTGATAGATTAATTTTTTATCATATTTGGCAGATTATTAATTTTGACAGGATCGGTTTTGAGAGATTCAACAGTATTTTATAGAGTTTCAAATTTGAAATGATCGATCTATAAATTCTGTGAATAACTTCTATCTTCGTAGATATTAGAACAATAACTGCTGTGAATTTTACTACAGTCACTTGTTACTAAAACTATAAATTTGTCATTTTCCAATTTTCAAGTGACCTTTGTTTTGTCACAGAACAAAGATTTCGATATAAACATAGTCAAAATCATCATCCATCTCCTCTTTACAAATTCAGCGTAAAGTGGTGAATTGCTTCCTAGTTCATCATCGTGATCTTGATTTATTGAGATCTACATCGGGAAATTTTTTTTAGTACAGTTCTGTACAGATTTGCAAAAAAAAATTAAATACAGTAATAAATTAAATGAAAATCTGTGCAAAACTTCAAATCCGGTAGCTATTTCTGTATAAAACTTCAAATTTTATAAAATTTGTAAAAAATCTGCAAAAATATAGATTTTTGCAAATTTACACTTATTTAATTTTCCCGATATAGGTGTGAGAAGAAAAAAAGTTAATTTATTGTGCAGAATAGTTTATATATTGAAACACAATGTTGTACCTTTCCACTAGTTTCTGAAGTTTGTTGTTGTTCAGGTTTATCATTCTTGACTCTTTTCGATAACAGTTGAAATTCATTTAGAGCTTTATTATTGCCTTAAAGATTTAAATTAAATTTGATCTAATTTCTCACCTTATCAGATCGAAAGAATTAAACATCAAACAATTATTTCTTTAATGCTCATTTGTATACAACCGTTTAAGCCCTTAAAAATTATTTTTGGAATCACTGAATTGAATTCTATTACCTATTTGTATTCCATCTAAATCACAAGATACAAATATGTTTTTGGTGTTTATCTTGTCATTTTCCGTAAGATTGCGCTTCAGCCCAAGTAAAGACTTCAACCAAAAGTTATCGATATGCCCCTTCTTTTTAGACTCAAGCTTATTAAAAATAAATTTTACATGTTAAATACATCAAGGTTATCAAAAAATTAAAAATTAACAAGAGGATTTGTCACAGGCTGGCTACAGCGGAGACGTAGTCCATAACCATGCAAAGACGTAGTTCCATGAATAGCTGTAGCCAACAGCAGAGACATAGTCCATAACCATGTAAAGATGTAGTTCCATAGGTAGCTGTAGTAGCGGAGACATAGTCTATAACCATGTGAAGACATAGTTCCGTGGGTAGCTACTGAATGTGATCTAATTTTCTGTCATAGCTTATGAAATTATATTAACCTTAAATTGTTTTCAAGGCGCATCGCATTCTTCTTTTTATTTTCTGCATTTGCCTGCAGAAGCTTCTAGTTACAATTGTTTTGTTTAAACCCAAATTACTACTTTTCCAGAACTTGTGATACTGAAGTGAATTCCAGTCATTACATGGAGTCTTCAGGAAATAATCGAAACCCGGTCCATGATCTTTTATATCAGATAACGTGTTTTATAGTGGAAGATTGAGAGAAGTCAATTTAGACACGTCTGATATTGTCAGTTTTTCTTATTATAGTTAGATCTCAATCACGAGTATATGTTGATCTCAACAATACATAGTTTGTATTATGCGACTATATTAAAGTATTAATTTGCCGGCTATTTACTGCGCTATTGCTATTGTTTAAAGTGTTTTTTTTGATTCATCAAATTAGTTATTGTACATCATTAGGGTGTCCAGGATTATGCGATGCGATGGGGTAAATTATACGGTTGAACTAGAGTCAATTATGCGGTGAATACAAATCAATTTTTAAATTATGCGATTGATTATACAATTAATTATGTGATTTTAAACATTTCTTAATATTTATTTATTTATTAAAATTCAAAAAGTTTAACATTTTAATTGAATTTTCTGATAACGCATGCCTATTATTTGTTAAAATTCGTTTATAAGCCGAAAAACTACATTCTACATCTATCCCTAAAACTGGCAACCAAATATATATCAATGCAATTCAACTAAGATTTGGTAACAAAGGTTCCTTTTTATGCCAATACTTGTCTAAATCAAAGTTTTCACTAAACACTTCTGATAACCCTGAATAAATTGCCCATTCACTAATAAGATTATTTGAAGGATTTTCTAGTAGAGATGAGATCGGCTTTTAGTAAGCCAGCTCAGCTATGGCTTTTGAGCCAAGCTGACGAGCTGGCTCAAGCCGGCTTGAGCTGATATCACGTGATTTAATGCACCTATTCTGACCCTATTTTATAAACCGGTTTTTTATATAGGACGTATGTAACTAAGTAATATCATAAGTCTGTGGCATGTACATACGTACCAGGTTTGTAGGGATGTTAAACAGCTCAGTCGGTTTTTAAGTTGGTTTATACTTTGATAGCATAGGTGTAAACTGTGAACTAGTTCACGATCGACTTTGATGGCATCAATATTGACCGTAAACTAGTTCACGATTTACACCTATGCTATCAAAGTTAATCGTGAACTAGTTCACGGTTAATATTGATACCATCAAAGTCAATCGTGAACTAGTTTATGGTCAATATTGATGGCATAGGTGTAAACCGTGAACTAGTTTACGATCGACTTTGATGGCATCAATATTGACTGTGAACTAGTTCATGATTGACTTTGATAGCATAGGTGTAAACCAGTATTGTCAATTCTGATAGGCTAAACAAATAAACAATCATCTATTGAGGGGCTTGTTTATTGTTTATTAAGGGGTTAATGAACAATAAACAAACCCGTGCAGGATAGCCAATAGAATAGATATTCAATGTATTTTATTTTAAATCTGAGAATTTAGCCCAGCTGGTTTTTTTTGGCTGTTAAAGTATTTAGTACAAGTGACTCTAGTTATAGTAAAGCCATCAGGATGAATATTTAATCTAATACGGCAACTTCAATTATATCTATTAACGGGTATGATAAGCCTAAAATAGCCTAAGATTACTGAAGATATTTGCAAGGGCGATGAGTTAAATATCGAATTTCTACAACTACTTATAGGTCTATTTTTATTGCTATTTATTCTGATTTTTATTTCTATTTATTTTGGTTTTTACTTTATTCTAGAAAATAGACCATGAGCAAAATATATATTGGAGATCTAAATTCAAGTTTGAAAAATTAAATTTGTTACTTGCATTACATTTAGGCACCCTCTTTTACTTATTTTTGGTATCAATTCTTTTAGTTAGGTCCTAAACACATCAGTATATATATATATAATATCTATTTGGTATATAGGAATGTGATAATACTAACAAAGGGTGTTTTCAAGCACCTTAATCAATGGGTCAATGGGGCAAAAAGCGTCAGGAAATAAAATTTATTTAGCGGAAAATAATTTAAATTAGTCAAGCGTGTTTATTATTAAGATGAATATGCATAATTGATAAAGCTTATTACGTAAATATAACATTTTTATTAATAAAAAAGATTGAAATGAAAGCATTATTTAAATCAGCAAACTTTTTACAACAACCTCTTTTTTTTATACCTGTCTTGAAAATTTTGCAATCAAATGAGTTTTCAAAAAGACCGCACAAGTAACATTGCTATGGATATCACGTTCAGCGACAAATTATTATTTTACTTCTCGCACTAAACGTTTTTATGAATGATAAAAAAAAACCAAGAGGCTCAAAAACAATATGTTTTGTTGTTTAATACTTCAGAAGAGGCAGAATCCGTATCTGAAGCTGAATCATCATTAGAAACTGTTTGACGGCTTACAAAAAAAAAAAAGTATTATTAAATTATCATATTTTTAAATAAATATGTGAATAACACCTCTTTGTATTCAATAGCAGCTTTATTTACAACTAATGAATTTATAAAAAATGGAGGCGGGATATTGTTGTTGAAATAGCATATTATAATTGGTGAAGTCAGTAAATAGAGCAACAGAGGCTGCTGAAATTGATGCTTCATCAGAATATTTTCGATAATTTACAGTATTTGCTTCTTGTTTAATGGTTGGTTTTGTTTTTTTATTTTTGTTTTTTTATTTTTCATTTTTTTTTTAATTTTTTGAATAATAAAAGAACTGCTCAAATATTGATTGCAATGTTTATTTCAATTAATTCTATTAAATGAGCACCATTACGATCACTAATTATCACATCGAAGATGATGCTTAAGAAAATTTCAATTACATCATAAATTACATATTCGAATTCTCAATAAAAATTTTATGTAAATATAATTTTGCTTGAGTACTATTGCGATCACTTGCTAATCACATCGGAATTACGCTTGAGAGCACCCAAAGAAGGATCAGTATTTTATAACCGTATATTAATTAATAATGTTAGTTGTTAATATTTGTATGCTGTAGTATGTATTAATAGTTATTCGAATGAGTATATTATTCAAATAGTTTATAGCCATAATAGCCAAGTCATTAAAGGGTTCTGATTTCCTTTATTAAAAATAAATTTAAAATATATAATTAAATTCTATATAATATCAGATCACTTTTAAATAAAAAAAATCATTATTTAGTAAGTGTCCATAAGATAAATATCACATGATCTGTACATGTTAGACAAAAGCTGCCTCAATACTTATGTACTAGCAGCTTTATGACATCAGCTACATTTTTTTATGGGCTACACTAGGTTGGATTACAAGATTATCCATGGTTTAAAATCAGTTCAGAAGCTTCTTTTATAGCAGGTTTATATAACTTGTCAATCTTAAGTAAAGTTACACATATACACAATTAGCTCACAATCCAAGTTACGTGATTGGTTTCAAGCTGGCTCAAGCCGGCTCAGCTCGGCTCTTAAGCCAAGTTAAGCCGGCTCAAGCCAATCTCATCCCTATTTTCTAGTTCCTTAATTGCCTTGTATAATGTAATATTGTATCGATCAGTTTGTACTTGTATATACCGTGGATCAAAGCAATGAACTGCTTTAAAATCAGAAGTGCTAAATGATTATTGACATGCTTGCCAAATTTTTCGTACACTAATTGAAATACTTCCTTGAAAATTGTATTATATGATAAAATATCATATTGACATATCAGCCGATTTGCAAATTTGGGTCTTTATTTAGATCACCAAATTTAGATTTACACGTGAACATTGACCAATCAAATCATATATTTATTATTTACCGTATATACTATAGGACCTATTTTTTATTGTTGTTATAAGCTATGTTTATACTATTTTTTGATCAGATAAAAATATTTTTTGATCAGGAAAGTTGAACTTAAAGGTAACTGTTTGACAAAGTTTCATGATAGATTATTATGTGATTTACCAGAAGTTTTATATGATGCTTTGTTATTAATAAGATTGATTATATAAATTCATTGTTTTGATTGGATCTTCACAAATTTAGTGTCACAAAAATTTGGGGTACTTTGCAAATTGGCTGATATGATGTATTTGGCAAAGATAAAATAATTTATTAGTTTTTTTTTTTTTTTTTTTTTTTTTTTTTTTAAGGTGAAATCTTGCCTTATATTTTTTTTTTTGAGTTAAGGAGACCTCTTTGGCCTGAAAGCTTTTATTAGGATTTGAAACGGTGTTTTATACGCAAT